ATACACTTTCAGCGAAAGCACGGGATCGGCACTCAAATGTACAAGTGTAGTAGCCATACAGAACCAGAAAATTAACGTCCGATAACACTTCTCCCGGTTATCTACATAATCATGGAGTCCACTGTAACTGAAGAGCTCACAGGGTACCTGAGAGTAACGAAATTTTAGTTACGTGGCAGCATGGAGTTCGCCAAAACCGGTCCTTTACTACTAGCATGTTGATTGCTGGTGCATGCTGGATGGAATTTGTGGATGGTGGTGTAGGAGTAGATGCCGCCTACCTGAATTTCGCAAACGCATACAAACATCTGGACCATGGCATTCTACTGAACAGACTCCAGAATTATGGAATCGACGATCACTTTATGGGCTGGATAGGCGACTTTTTAATTCAACGTCACCTGAATGTGAGAGCTTACAGCACCGCATCGGAACCAAACTAAGTTCAGTGAGGCGTACCGCGTGGCCCGGACCACGCCTGTTCCTGCTCTTCAGTAAAGATCTCGCGAGGGTCCTATCTTCATAGTTCCTACTATTTGTCGATGACCTAAACATTTGGCGTGCTATCACAACACTGGAAGAATACAAGCCTTAGATGATGAACCGGATAAAGTGTACACATAGACCATATAAAACATGCTGCAGTTCAAAGGCATCAAGCGCAAGATTCAGAGCATTCGCCATCTCAGTACTCACAACTACCCGCTAAGACCACAATTCTTACAGCGACTTCCTCATAAGTGTGATCTCGGGGTACTCGTGCAATATGACCTTGGTTGTTTGAGGTAGACTGAAAAGGCATCAAGGAAAGCAAACCAGCACTTCCGCTTTCTTTGCAGTGTTCGGGGCTTGACGCGTCTTTCCGAAACTTCATGGCGCGTAAGTCAGACTGCACGCGGAATATGCTATCCAACGGTAGCGACTCAAACAGAAGCACTATCTCAATGCGCTCGATACAGTAAAAGGTAGGGCAACGGAGAACGGCAGAGGTTTGTCCTGCTTCCCATTCACCCAGGCTAAAAAGGCTAGATGTACAGCGGACGTTATCGGAGTCTACAGAGAGATCTCATAATGGCATATCAGACCCTAAAAACCCCCAACCACACAAGTCAATCTCTTTTGAAATAGTCAAAATATATCTCTGAGGCCACAAGTTTAAGTTGGCCTTGAAGTACAGCCGAGTGGAATGGCGACGAAACCCATTCTGCGTGCGAGTGTCAAAACCCTGGAACGCCGTTCCGACATATGTAATAAATGCTCTTCCAACTTATCCCTTTCCAAAAACGACTTGACGATGCCCTTACACATTTACACATGACATAGACCATGACCATTATATGATGGCATTAATGCACAACAAACTGTAGACGACGTCATAATCCTCCTAAACTCCAGACAGGAATATCCGCACATGTGCAACTCCAAACCCTTTGGTGACGCACGTAACTCACGCATCCTTTTGCTGACAGTTGCTGTATGTAATTTTCACCCTAACCATGCTAAGGGACATGTCACGTATTCGCTTCTATATCCATCATAAACCAGTGCTCCAGTAATTGAGGTTAAAGTCGCAAGTCACTAGAGATAACACCCACATTTGTAGACGGATAGTGGACGTTGCCCGGGTAAATTTATTCAAGCCGAACATGGCCAGTAATGGCTTGTGGTCCGTAACCAATGTGAAATGTTGACCGCACATAATTTTGTAAAACTGTTGAACAAAAAGTTGGACAGCAAAAGCCTAATTCTCCACCTGCCACAAAAGATTATCTTCATCTTGCGGGCACTTAACTTTCATGCATCCGGCAGAGTGAGAGTCTAGGGCAAGCATTCCTCGCCCTTCGCTGTCAATTGCGGTGTGCGACCGGGAGGCTCTATGTTCCCGCTCTCCTAACTTTCGCAATCGAGAACGTACTGTCAAAATCTAGGTGTACAGAATTTCGGCCTTGGTCTCCTACTGGGTAAGAAGGCAACCGACTTATGCTGACGACCCGCAGAGTTCGCAACTCAGTACCGACCGCGGGCGCTTGAAGAATAAGTATGCCAAATGACACATCCCTTCGAAGTGCAGAGTGCTGCCCCAGGATTGGCCCATATCCGCCCTAGTGCACAACGTTGAACGTGCGCAGCTAAAGCAGATAATTAGTTTATCATACTTTGGGAGCTGTGCTTCTTCTGGCGACAGTATCAGCAAGGAAGTTTCTCTTCGCGTCGCTAAAACCTGATCAATATTTGTCAAGCTGAAGCAATTGTGGCGTCGTCGGAACGTCTCTATCTCGGTGAAGGACAGTGTCTACGATGCATCGGTCCGTTCAGTGTTGTTGTATGGGAGCAAGTCCCAACCAATTAGTTTGAAGGACTTGCGTTATCTTGCAACTTTCGATAACAGTTGTTTGAGATCGTTGGCGTGTGGTGGTAATATCGAGTCCACAGTGATGATGTTAGACGTCGGGTCTTGGGGAATGTGATTATCCCATTCAACAAGCAAATTTTATTGCGCCGGTTGAGATGATTCAGTTACATCGGACACAACGAATGAACATCTACCGCGTCGCGCCCCATAGTTTCACAAAGGGACGGGCTATATTTCACCTCATGGTAACCAGCGAAAGTACACAAAATCGTTGACGTCACATCTAACCGCGGTTGAAAACGCACGTCTTCCTGAATGAGGACGCATGGATGAAGAGTAGCCTGTGGCTTGACATGAAACCGGAATCAGTGAACGAACGGTGTGTAGAATTTTCAAGAATCCCATTTCTAATGCCTTAAAAATTGAAAGTGACGAAAATATGAAATCATCGGCGTGTAAAAAATAAAAAGTTTCGTTCCGTTTCTGTTGAAGTTGTACTTCCATTTGTAATTCATGATTTTTCTATGGTTCAATGTCAACTTCCACTTGAACCATTTCAGGAGTAGGTTTTCAGAGGTATTCGCAGCTGATGTCTTTGCAATAAGAAATTCCAATAGCGATCAACGTAGGATTCTCACATCTGTGGGTGCTTGTATGTTGATAATAGCTTATGTGTTTTCCTTTTTTAGACCTCGGCCTTTTTGAATTGTGATGAAAGCCGTTTTAAAGATGTGGCAGTAGCAAACTATAGTTCTCCGGTCGTAGGCGCAATTTTTATCTCCCTATGCTATCTATGATCTGATAGCAACGCAATGACAGCTCCTGTAGATTTGCACCGATGATCCAGATAACTTCTAAATAGGCTACTATATCGATACTCGGCAGCACGGTGCCATTTGAACATTGGAAAGTAATAGGTACCCGTTTGAACTGAAACGAAACACGATGCGTTAATTGTGAATAATTTCATTGAGATCCTTGACAACGATCTGCATTCGTAAGATGGAGTTTGACAAACAAGTTACCAACTAAGACTTTGGTAAATACATATTCCGGGCTTGGTACTGAAAAGTCGTGCGTCTGGGATCCTCACGCAGAATGGAGCCATCAGCCTTTCATACTGCCGCAAAAGCGCAGCCAAATCAGATCAAGCAATTGATTGTATGATATTGGATGTTTGTAAGCGATTAAATTCTTGCTCAAGACTGGTTAAGGCAGAATGCAGCGATGGGCACTTTGGGCGAAAAGTCGGTTCGATTTCATGTTCAGCTGTAACTTGGTATAAAGTCCGAGGCTGTTCCGAAAAGCTAGGGCGTATAACCGAAACAGAGGCAGTGTAGTCGTCGGTTAAAGTTCTGGATTGATACCTAGAGAAAAACGCTGATACCCATTGTCAGGGCTCGATTTTTACGGTCACTTCTTCCCTCTCTATGTTTATCCGTGGTACAACTGAGTTGTGTATGAAGGTGAAAGAATACTGCTGACGAGTGGTGAATTTGTCAAGCGCAGTAACAATTCTCAATTAACTTGCGTCCTTTCAATTTGTGCAGATGAAGATAGGCCAACAAAACGGCAAATGGAATAAAGGCATAGGCAAGAAACATGGTCAATGCCAACAACATTGGTTATGCGACCATTTGCTTTGACCACTAATGCCCACGAGCAATATTCAACGGAACGGTTGCATGAGAAATACAAAGGTGAATCATTCCGTGTTCTCGCATTTAACTGTTCTTGACTTACATCAATGGTATACCATTCGACCGGAGGGACAGGACGTCTGTTTTGTAGTCGAAAGGTCACCGATTCGAATACGCGCAGCTGCGGTCAACGTGGTGGTATAAGTAGCCCGCGTGGCAGCAAAGCGTGGGTACGTGGTGTGCCGATGTAGTGCTAATACCTTTCCTGCTTTCAAGGAGGAACACCAGGTGCCTATGTGATAGCTGATAAACAAACACAAGCAACTGATCGAAGCACCAAGCCAAGCTGACGTTTTGCGTTTAGTTGGAATGCACGTCAAAGAATGTCTCGCACAAGGTGGCTTGAAATTTTGACTGATACAGAGCTAATGAAAATCCGGCCTTTTCTGATGCACTTCGGCACACTGACGGTTCGTACCTAGAGGCGGTTATCCAAATATTTTCCGCAATATTTTTATTCACCTTCGACATCGTTGGTATATCTTTGTAGCATTGTCTAGATCGAAGTGTAAAACGAGCTCTCACCTATTTTCCCCATTGCCAGTAACATCTACATGTTGCTAGTGGAGTTGCAGGAAGTAGACCCAAAGCACACGGAATCAAATTTGTGCATTTTGCTAACAAAAATCCTTCGCAATACCAGTTTCGCAGATGATTGAACAATATAACGCAAACGGGTGAGATATAAGCCGATTCCATTGTTTATGAACTACAAACAGAGTCAAGCCAGTTGCAAGAAGCTGTTCCTACTACCTCGGTAGTCGTAACGAGAGATCAGAAGAGAAGTGGATCGACAGAGTATGTTCATCATACTTACGTAGCAAAGAAGTAAGATACAAAAAGAAAACAGGCTTTATCGAAAGCGCTGAAACTCACCAATATATATATATATATGTATATGATAAAGTTAAACAGGTTTTCTGAACACTACAAGAGCGGGGATAGGTGGGCATTTTGAAGATAAAAGTATATCACAATAAATGAAGGATAAATGCGTTCTGTCAGTTAGCAACTTGTCCATCAAGGACATCTGATGGCGCGGTTATGTGTTCCGTTCGCATCAAGCCTTGCTGAGCAGCGCTGGCCAGTAGGCAGCCTTCTGTGTTCCAAATGGCCCCGTATGATAATGTTAGCGCGTGACCTATGAGGAAACGATAGGGATTATACATCGACATCGAAATCATCTGTGAGAAGCATGAACATCCTAACCACAATGAGCTAACAAAAATATGTTTTAGATTACACATATTTACTCAGCAATGCGTCTTTATGCCCAAACAGAGCACTCCTGTCGCAACTTACCAATGTAACTAACCTTCGTTTCATACAGAATCCATTCATCTGGCTCAGGGCACACATCATGATTGTGAAACCAAACACTCTGGCTCAAGGTGACCAAGAACTTGACGTTGCGCGGTTCGGTAAAAGCCGCCCAAATCAGAACGACATCTGATAAGTAACTCAGAAGAGCATCTCTGAAGGGCAGTAGAGCCACAGCTAAAAAATAGGCATAACTTTTAGCTCTGGTATTAGTAAACCTATGATCTTTATGCAACAACGCACATGATAACACAAAAAGGCATGTTATTTACATGTTACAATAGGGGACACTATACCAGTAGTACATACAGTAAAATGACATCAGCAGTACCCCGGTACCGACACTACGCTGCCGCGCAACCACCAGTCACACGTAGACTAAGGATACTGCGTGGGTCGCCCACCCTTGGATTACAAGGGCGGGCTACTGATCCTTAAGGCCATGGGCCGGCAAGTAGCTACAGTGACATCAGCACAATGAGAAATTGCCTACAAAAGTGGCCAGAGGCCCAGTCTGAAGAAAAAATAGATTAGAGTGGATGATGCTGAACACAGCGTCGGATGTCATATTTGAGCAAGGATGTACGGTCGTGGTAAATTCCAGTGTACATGCCTCGCCTAGCACGCAGTGCACGCGCTGCTATTTAGAATGACGTACATACAGACCGCACATCAGTCAGCAGAGATAGAGGATTGTTGAAATCCAAATGGGCAGTTGAAATTGAGCGCCAGTCGCTCGGAAGCCGATGTGAGAACCAATGGAACGAAGTACACGAAGCAGAATGTTTATCAAACCTACTGCTGCGTAAAGTCATATAATAATAAAACAAATATATCTGATCCCTGTACTTACAAGAACAATACCAAACGGCACTTGTGGTGCTTACCGAATTGGCTCTAGTTGAAACGTACAGTTACGTACTTCAAGGAAATCATTAGTAAAACGGAACAAGACACAATAAGTTGATCTTTCGGAAACGCGAGACCTACATGGTCGTTCTTTCAGTCGCATCCAAAAATGCAGACGGCCACTGTGATTGGTCTTCAACTGGAACAGGTATTCGGGTTCACAGCATCTTATCTCCATGGGAGAATGTCGATCGAAGGTGAGAAAGTGTTGAACGAAGGTTCGAGTGGCTGGAGGCAGATCGTTTCTGTCGTTCAAATAGGGGTGGCAGAAGGTGAGGTCTGAGGAGTTCGAAACGAACCAGTTGAACATGCTCAGAGCAACAGAAACCGCGATGTGAAAAAGCGAAACCGATTCAAAACTAGACAACAGATAAGTAATGAGCGGTAGTTTGCATAATTCAACAACTGGCCTAAAACATCCGATACAGGTGCTTACTATCTGTCCAAACAATATGACGGTAACCCAGTGAGTGACAGAGAGAATGTCGTTGGATCATTCAGATTTCTACGAGGGCATTCAGAATCAGATCAAAATACTAACAGATGAATCAAGACCAGAAATCAGTTCAAGGTTAAGAATTCTTTTCGTTAAATACTTCTGGTTAAATTCTGACTGTCAGGAAGCAGCGGAAAAACTGAGGTTACGAAGTAAAAATCTTGAGAACATCGATTAGATTCCTGGTAAGTTTATCTCACAGCGTGGTAGCCTCAGCTCGGATTAGTCAAGTAAGATCATCTCAAACCGACCTTAAGATAATTGTAGGGTAGCACGTAATGCGTTTTCTTAACACAGGAATGATTATATACTGCCTCGTGGTAAGCAAGTCAGGCGTGAGAAATGGATGGTCTTTCTTGAAGCAAACAATATCTAGAGTACGAGGACGTGCATAGTCGGACATCAGGACAAAGTGGCTGGCACAGCTCAGTGATGATGAGGCACGAAGCAAGTAGCTACAAACTGTGGCATATACAGGAGCAAGCTACTTAGTGAATAAGGCTCCTTGTGTGCTTGTGAACGTTTAGTCAGTTGAAACATCACACAGTTGGGAGAAAAGTGAACTTGTCGAAACGACTCCAATATTCTGTGTGGGGTTCCGCATCTCGCTTATCTCGGTTTAAGGGAAGCCAGCAGTGCACTGTCCAAAGTGGTGAAGATTCGTTGATCAAGGCACAGGCATAGCGCTCGGCGTACGTGTGATTCCTCTAAGACGCGCGATAGATTATACTAACAGAAGCTTAGCATTGAAGAGGATAAAGCCAAGACGTAGGTCTCGGTTGCAATGGAAAAGTTTAAAATGCTGTATTTTTTGCAAAATGAACTTGATACCTATGCGATTAATGAGCATCGCACACCTGATACATGTGAAGTCCGAACATTGCAAGAAAAGAGATTGTTAGGATAAATGTGATAATCTGAAGACGCTTATTATTGTTGCAAGATGTCCTAGTTGTGTCGATTAATGGTAAGATTGGAGAGGAAAAGCACAACCTCGCAGGACTGCAGCTAGACACAGAAGCGAATGTGTGGGTGACAACAAGAGGTTTTCATCGATTCAGGCGAAAGCGAGTATGGCTTTGTATTCAATACAATAGCATAACAACCTAATACGCAAAGTATGGAGGAAGGTAAATGTTGGTAAGGCACATGAATTAGCACGAAGTGGTAGTATCCTGAGGAAAACGCAGTTGAAATCAGAGTAAATTAGGACGGTAGATACAGCAATATTCTGAGGGGAGTGGAGTTGGGTCACTGTGGTTTGACGCGGTTGCGTTACTTAAGACAGATTAAGTGAAGGTTGTGCAGTCCGCGTCGGAACACAACAGCGGTTTCAATGAAGAGAGCTCAGCTGTCACCTGTGCAATCTGAGTGGACGCGTGGCGATAGTATTGCTGAGGCGTGCCAAGCGTATGTTTCGCGGAGTTATGCGGGCTCCGTAACACTTACAACCCCCTATTTTTGTTGGATTTAGTATTCTAGCCAAACTCATGTTAGTGCGCTCAATAACCACAACCACTAAGCATACCCGGAGATTGAAATGTAAAAGTGGACTGATAGATTGCTCAGTAATTAACCATCCTGTGTGAACAGGGCCAGATATCCCGCCGTCGAGTGATGCAGTTAATGAAATAGCACAAGTAACAGTCCTCGTCGACGTACGGAGGCAAATTTTGAATGAAAGTGTGAGTACTCATTAGATCAACGGCCGAAGGAACCTTCGGCATGGGAGCCACGAAATGAGCCGGATCTTCCTCTGGGACTTTGAATGAACAATCCATACGAAAGAATGGGGAAATGTCCGCAGACTTGGCCTTGTCCACGGGGAAGGCTTCCACTAAACGATGGCTGAAGCAGCGGCTGTCGCGGAACCGAGTCACGTGATAGTCGTTTGGTGTGTGGACGCTAGCTAGTCGAAAAGAAGTGAAGATAATAGTGGAATAGATGTAAACGACTGTCATCGCAGCCACACAGCCAATATAAGACTTAGCATGATCCTCCGTTAATTTCAAGTGCTAAGCAAAAACGGCGCATGGTCTATTCAATTGGCTTTTTGACGAACAGTATTACCTCGATCGTGGAAATAGCAGTGAAGACTGTGAGACTTGAAGCCATCAGGGACAGTTTTGCTGGCCGCCATCAGCGCTTGGGCCATTAATTCGCCTCCGTAAATAGCTCTGGTATTTGGAGAGAAAACGCGCTCACCTCTGTGGAGTTGGAAAAAGAGGGGATGGTTTCTTTTGTTCATGAAATAAAAACGCTGGTTAAGGCGAAAAGGTGCAGGAGAGACATCGAAGGCAAATAAGCTATCGGGGATAGGTGTTATACAGAAGATGAACGATGATCAAACCATGAAAATAAGTTTTGCATGACAGTGAGGAGAGCGTGGATAACTGCTCAAGTCACGCTCGTGGCTGACAATGTCCCATCTGCCTGGTCAAAGTACAAAACTAGACCTGAACAACGACCATTCTGAGCGAAGAAAGATTTCAGACGCCGCATTTTCATCCACTCGGACAGCACAAAGATCATTGCCGTGTAACCTGCTAGGGAGGAATCTTACGATTGGTAGTGCACTAATAGAAAAAGAACTGGATCTTAGGGCGAGTAGCAGGACAAAAGAGTTATGAAAGCGAACCAAGCGTATAACGAGAAACGAAGTTCGAAACACATGGTCAACGGAACGGGTTACCTGAACACACTCTCGGATACATCCTTCATGTCCAGCATTTCCATCAAAAACTTGTCTCCCGACCCCATTGTCTAGAAAAAAACCACGGACCGAACATCTTGTTATGTGGGATACAAATGATTAGTTAGTGAAAGAGGATATATATATATATATATGAAAAAGAAGTAAATCTAGGTGGATGATATATTCAAGTTAAACGGAACATAGTTTAGAAAGTCTAGATGACAGGTGAACGGGAACAAGCACCGTCGGACCGAAGAGTGCCGATGAGGGAACATAAGGAAGTTCGGAGAAATGTTTCGTTCTGTTGGCCAATTCGATTTAGCAGCACCCAGGAATCGCCAATCACCTGTAAAATAAGTAGAGCACGTAAGTGAATTACGACAGCTGACAGCGAATTAAAACTGTCAGGAAATGGTGAGTGGAGTGTGACACGAAGTGGTCACATTATGGTATGCAGAGATACTCCATGCAAGCTCTTATGCCAAGCCAGTGAGTTAGAAGAACTAAAGCAAAGTGATGAAAAATGAAACAGCGCGATGTAAGCTGAGTTGGAAAAAAGCGATGCGCCGGAAAAATATACGTTTCCAGATTGTGTGACGCTTGTTTGTGATTTGTTTCACTTGTGATAATGAAATATTAGTCAATGAACGTCCTTCACAACTCATCCACAAAAATCAGGTATATGAAG